TGAGTTTTTTAAAAAATATTTTAATATTATTTTTACAACCTAAATTTCATTAGTTTTCATTTTTATATTAAATTTACCCTTGAAGATTTTTATTAAAATTTTTGAGAATTCAAATTATTTCCAAAATTTTCGATTAAAATATTTAAAAAAATGATGATTTTTCAATTAAACTTCATCTCTAAATCAATTATCGATATTAATTTTTAATAGCTTTTCCGAAAGTTCTTCGAGAATTCAATTTTATTTCAATAAAAAAATTCAATTTTTTATAATAATTCAAACTGTCTATTTTTGATTTTAAAGATTATTAAGGAAGAATTTTTTCAAAAATTTTAATAAAGAAATTCGTAAAATTAACTTTTTAAAAATATTTCGAAATAATTTTTGAAAGACAATAGTTTTATAAATTTCATACAAATAAAAAAATATCCAAAAAATTGAAATTTGGTAAAATCTTTTAAAAATAATTGAAATTTGATCAAATTTTTTTTAAATAATTCTGTTTTTAAAAAAATTTTAATTATAAATGATTTCTCAAAAATTCTACAATAGTAAATTATTAAAATTTTTAATTTTCTTTGTTCGAAGGTAATTGAATCTTAAAAAATTATGATAAAACAAGTCTAAGAATTAGTTTTTTTTATAAATATTGTAAAGTAATTTTTCGAAAGTAATTGATGAATTTTTATATTCTTAAAAAAAAACTAATTTTTTGAAGAATTTTAATGAAAAATTTTGAATGTGAATAATGTGATTATTTTCTCCAAAATGTTAAAAATAATTCGAATTTTCGGAAATACTGAAAATATTGAAAATAATTTAATTTTAAAAAACAAGAACGGAATTCAGAGGATTACTTTTTTGAAACCTATTTTAATATTACTTTTAGAACCTAATTTTCGTTATAATTTTCATTTTTATTGGATTTACACTTGAAAGTTATTCATTAAAATTTTTAAGAATTCAATTATTTCCAAAATTTTCAATTAAAATTCTTTAAAAGTTAATTTTTAAAAATTGTTATAGAATACTTGAAAAATAATTTATTTTCAATTAAATTTTACAAAATTTTCAATTATTCAAAATCTTTTTAATTCTATATTTCAAAAATTTTTGAAAAATTATTCAAAAATAAATTTTCAAAGATTTGTCTACAGTTACTGTATATGGTATTTTGTCGCAATATTTTAAAGAAAAGTCGAAAAAGTCGTAATTTTTCATGTAAGTCGATAAAAGTCGCATTATTTGAAAATATTTGAAGAAAGTCGAAAAAGTCATATAATATCCGAGGCCTGATATTTTTATTCCCTAATATTGACAATTAATATATTTGCGAATTGCTTAACAAAATGACAAGATGATAACAATTATAATAATAAATATAATAATAATAATAAACAAATAATTCGACATTTAAAAGAAATGACTATGGCACAGAGAAAAAATCTGCCAAAATAAAAGTAATTTACTGCGCAATAATGTAAATATTATATAAATTTTGTAAACTATTCTAATCGACGATAAATAAGTTTTCGAAAACAAGATTTTACGCAAATTTTGAAAAATCTAATTCAAAAAAAAATTTTTATTCGAAATTTTTCTTTTCTTGCTTTTTTAACATAATTTAATAATTATTCCTTGATTCAGAAAAAAAATATTCGCTGGAAAATTTAATTTCAAAACCAAAGAAAAGTAAAATCTTGCTTTCTTTAAAACCGACGATCAGTATTATTGAATAAAAAAAAACAAATTTCACACACATGTAAATAGCAATATTATGACAAATATAAAAAAAAATATTACTCATCGAATCAAATCTATATTGTAAACGAGTTCGCACATTTTTCTCTTTAACTGCTTTCAAAAATATTAAATGGTCTCCCCCCCCCTCCCCAAAAAAACCTTTGTAAATACTCATTTAATAATATTCCTAAATAAAATTATAATAATAAAACACAAATATAGTCACATTTTTAAAATGCCAAAGAAGCACTGAATCAAGCTATGAATTTCTTTTATACTTTAAAAAAATCAATTACTAATCATTTTATTATAAAAATTGTACTCGCGCAATTACTAGTGATTTATTTTAATTTGAAATTATTAAATTCGAATATTATGAATTTAATTTAAATTAATTATATTAAATTAATTAAATTAATTAAAGTTTAGTATAAAATTAATGATTTTAGAAGTTGTTTAAAAATATTATAATTCTGATTTTTTTGTAATTAAAAAAGAGATAATTTTATGAATTACAAGGTAATTTGTTATGTAATTAAAAAAACTTCATGTAAAATGTACAATAAATTTTAAAAATGTTCAAAATTACTTAATTATTATAAAATTGTCATCAGATAAATAATTATTGAAAGCAAATAATTTTTAATGATCCTAAAGTTCTGAACGTTCAAATGAACGAAATTTATTTATTTTCTTCTTTAATTAAAATATTTATTACAATAATTTTTTGTCGATATAAAATAAATGAATTATAAAGTTTCTAAGTGTAAAATTTAAGTTTTTAATTTTTATTGCAAACAATAAATTATCAAAACATTTCTAATAAAAAGTGTTTCGTTCATTTGAACGTTCAAAACTTGTGGATCATAATTTTTATTCCTATCAAGCATTATATTACGAATCAATAATTTTGGAATTCCATACAAATAAAATTTCACTGGCAAAATATTTCATTCATTAAATTCAAATTAATTAATCATTATTTGAATTTGAAGTAATCAACAATTGTTTTAATTCAAAGTAATTAATAATAAATTCAATTTAAAGTAAACAATAATTGATTTCATTCAAACTGATTCCTAGTAATTAATTCGATTTAAAGTAATTGCTAATTATTTTCATTTAAATTAATTAATAATTAATTTGATTGAAATTAATTAATAATTAATTTAATTCAAAGTAATTAGAAATTAGTTTATTTCAAAATAATTATCATTTAATTAGTTCAAATTGATTTGCGATAAATTTAATTTAAATTCGATAATAATTAATTTAAAATTTAATTATATTTTCTGTTCAAAAAGAGTAGAATATTCTTAAGGGAAGAATTTTGGATTTATTAATTTCAAGCATCATTTTTCTAACTCATTGAACTTGCTCAATCGTCAAACATTCAATTAAATTAAGAAACACTAATTTAAAAAAATATAGATTTGCAAATGAAAAGTTAAAAAAAAAAAACAATTCTATACGTATCATCCTGAAGCAAATTGAATTTTTTTATCCGACAACAATTTTGTGATATATCAGAAACATAAAATTGCTTGGAAGGATTATTTTTCCGCATATCTTTTTAATTAACCCAAAATTTGTCCCTTAATCTATTTTTCAATATTTAAAAATAAAAAAAAGAAACATAATCACTTCAATTGTAAAATTAAATTAAATTTCAATTACACTGAAACAATTATTTTCATTATTAAAAATCACAAAATTTTCGAATTAAATAATCAAATAATAATCAGTGAAAAAAAATTCAAGAATAAAAATTACAAAAATTATTTTTAATGAAAACTTTTAAAAATTCATTTACGCATTAAATAACTGTATCGATTAGTTAATTAACTCGATTGTAATTAATTAACTTAATCAATAAAAAATAATTAATAAAAATTAATTAAAAAATTAGATAAAATAATTAAATTATTTTGAAAACAAATGATATTTATTTTTTCTAAATTGATGCATTCTTTCTATAACCATTGTACCATAAATATTCCTTAGAATCGCAATACTTGGTGAACAATGATAAATAATCGTATAATATGTAAAAAAAAACTAATTAATGCGGGAAACGAAACGCTCTAATGACTGTATAATAAAATTTACCCAATTCTATAAAATAATTATAGTTATGAAATTTCTTATCATAAAACTCGTGTGTACTTAGAAATATAAGATTAATATCCGATAATAATAATATTGTTATAAACAATCGACTTGTTTTAATATTTTTTATTACAATTATAACCATTGAGCATTAGATATTTTTTTAAAAAAGTAAAATATAAAAGTTAAAAATTCAATAGAAATTAGTTTAAATTAAATTTATCATTTATTTGATAATAAAAAAATTAATTCAAATAGTTTAAGTTATTAAAAAGTGATAAACAATCTCTTTCAATGTGTGAATATCAAAAAAAAAATTATTTTCTATATTACAATTTTTCAAACGTCCAATTAAACGAAATATTTTTCATTAAAAATATTTTCATAAATTATTCATTGTAATAAAAAATAAAAAAAAGTAAATTGAACTTTTAGAAACTTTATAATTAATCTTTTTTTTTAGTGGATGCAAAATTATTGTAATAAAATTTTAATTTTGAAGAGAAAAAGAAATAAATTTTGTCCATTTGAACTTTCAGAACTTTTAGGAACATAAAAAGAAAACAAGACGCGAAATAAAAAAAGGAAAAAAAAATTATTTTGTATTTAAAAATAATTACTTGTAATGTAAAATAAGACATTGGATTTAATCTTGTCTCAAAAAATGTATCTTATAAAAGTGTATAAATACTTTATGAATGAATAATTGCAAAATATAAAATAAATCACTTCTTTTATGAAAATGTGTTTTTCTTTCACCATCCAAAGTAAAATTTATTGGATATCCAATTTATTAATGAATATAATTTTCATTTTCTATTGAAATTATTTTTAAATTAATTATTTTTTATTAATATATAAATTTTAGTATTTTTTAAATTAAAATTTACTTCTTAATTAAAATTTTCCAAGGCGACAATTTATTCTAATTCTTTTCTAAAAGAAAACTTTGTTAACAAAAGAATATTTTACACAAAGAAAATAAATAAATTTTCATTGATAAATTCAAGAAGACAATTTCTCGAAAACGAAAAAATTTACTTAATGAAATATGAAAAAGAAATAAAATCTCTAAAATACATTCATTTCACAATCGTAATGTTTCAAGAGTCAATAAGAAAATTTGGGAACTAAATTCATAATCAAAATATCGTTACTAATGATTTATTCTTTACACTTATAATGTACATCTCAACGTAATCGACGAGTCAATTACAAAAACAATTAATCAACAGTGAGTGAGTGTATTATTAATAAATTATAGAAAATTTTCCATATTCCAAACAACATTTTTAAATTGTTTTTCTAAATTTGTTTTCTGAGAAGTAAATATTTTTTTTACAGTAATTAAACAAAATAAAGAATTGATAAATCTTCAACACGCACTTTATCACGAGATAATTAAATTTATTTTGCAGGCCAAATGATACACAAAATTCATCTATAATTGAGCATTACATAAGTTAAAAATGGATACGAACTCACAGGACTATTGCTATTAATTTCTTGATTTCATGACAGAGAAGAATTTCATTTTGCAACTGCTTTTTTACTGGGTTTAAAATATAAATAAAATCCTAATAATATCATTGAGCCGAGAGTTGCTTTTGATACCTAAAATAAGAAAAAAAATGATTGAATAAATTTAGAAAATCTTTTGAGTCAAAAAACATATTCTAGGTTAGGTTTCACATTATACTTACATTTGCACGACCATAATTTGTATGACTATTAAAAATTCTAGATAATCCTGTGAATTTTGGACCACCTGCTTCCTCTCCGTGACCCATTTTTTCTATTTCTTGAGAATAGAGTTTATTTAAACGTCAATAATTTCCTTTTTTTATTTTAGAGAACCAATATTTTAAGACGTGACGTTAAGAGTGCGTTATCGTACGTCGTCTGCTAGAATTCAGTCAAATTCAGTGAAATTTCGTGCCAGTGTTGCCAAAATCAGAAAAATGGACAAATTTCACATTTCCGGTGTTATTTAAATTTTAAAATAAATTTAAATAAAATTATTATTTTCGTAAAAATTAATAAACTATTAATTCAATTAATAATTTCAAGAAAGTACTTACTTTGTAAATATCTAATATCATTGACTTTAATTATATTCTAATGATTCAATAAACACTGATTTTTCACAACAAAACTCGTTAAAATTTTTTTCTTCACTCAGAGTCTGAAGACATTTTCGTCATTTTAAAATTTCTTGAAAATTATTTTTCTTTTTTTATAATAAAAGTGACAGTGCACTAAAGGTGTAAATAATTTATCAATTTTAAATTTAAGTAAAAATTAAATTAAAAATTTAGTTGTTCTCTACGAAATTTTACTGCAAATTTTGTTTACAAAATTTTTGAATTTGCAAAAATAATAACATTTTTATATTATTATTTTTGAAAAATAAAATAAATCACGAAGTTGAAGTCCATAACGTTTATCAACGAAAAAAATTTATTTAATGCATTCAAGTATTATTTTTAATTTAATATTTAATTGTAAAATAATTATTAGGTATCAAAATATAAACATCAATTTTTTTTTTCTAAATATATTTTTATGAATATTGCTGCGTCATTTTTAATTAATTTACCAGCCGCGTAGGAACGAATTATTTTCCGGGGGGGGGGGGGGAAACTACATATATAGATATATTTAACAATGTAATATGTGTATAACTGGTGGAGCAACTGCCCCTCTTGCCCCCCTGGTTACTACGCCACTGTAATTTACTAAATGAACAATTTTCTTTCGTTTATGAACGTTGTGTAAAAGTTGAAGTCAACTTGATAATAAATCAAATTTTTTGCAGAGATTTAAGTAAAAAAAAGTATTTTAAGTTCTTGAAAGTTTAATATTATTGTTACAAAAATAATATTTAATATTATTACTACAAAAATAATATTATTTAATATTAATATTTACAAAAATAATATTTAGATATTATTATTTTTGAAAAAAACAATAAATTAAATTTTCATAAATAGAGATTTAAGTTTTTAATGTAAAAAAATATTTTAAGTGTTTGAATATTTAAAAATTAATTTTCTAGCTCAAATCTAAACAATTATGAAACAAACTATGGAAATCTAGAAAAAAATAACAACCAGAAACATCGAAATTAAACGACAGAAACTTTGCATTGACCTTGAATAAATTTTGTTAATGCAACAAAATTTAATTTTAAGCACAGGAATCTTGGAAATTTTGTTCGCCTACGAAAAACTAATGGACATTTTTGTTTTAATAATTATTAATTATTTGTTCTAATTAATTCCAAATTAATTATTTTAATAATTTTACGATTTTTATGGAAAGCGAATCAAAGCCTTTACGTAATAAATCTTACTTAAGGTCATGTTATTCAGTGGTCACGTGCTCCATATACTTTACTATGGGAACACGTGACCACTGAATAACATGACCTTAAGTGACGAAAAAAGGTCAACAGGGACGAGAATAAATAATTTGCGATCATAACGAAGATCATAATTTATAAGATGTGGTAAAAAGGGGAAAAATCACCCAATGATAAAGTGAATTAAAAATAGTTTAGTACCTATCAATTATATTAATTAAATAATTGACCGTTTGATAAATAATAAACAATATGAACAAAATTTTTTAATATGAAAAAAATTCATATTTATGAACAAAGACAGAAATATTTTCAATTTTTTCATTCTATTGTAATGAATTTTTTAATTTACGAATCAAATAGAGAAACGTAATTTTTACATTAGGATTAATTTAATAAAGTTAACAATTAATTATTAATTTAATAATGTTAATTATTAATTAAGAAAAATTTTAATTTCGCTAAACGAATTGAGTATTTAATTAAATGAATATTTTGAAAAATGTTATCACGATTATCCACAAACTAATTAAATAATTTGTTCAATTTTTTAATACACTGACTATCAATTGATTTAACTACCGATTCCATAGGTGATTTTTCAAATTTTTTTGTTGCAATATTATATAAATAGAACTTACATTGAAAATTCTTACTTTGATTTTGAAGTTGCTCTCACAGTAATCCACGTTTTCCTTGAAATTCTTGAATTATTCTTCGTTTATTCATAATCCACATTTGAAAATTAAAGCACACCACTGAATTTATAGTTAAAGCATTAAGCTTTTCTTTAAATCAAAAAACCGGCACTGACTCGAAATATTTTTATAAACTCGGAAATATTTAAATCATGGAAATTAAAATTTTCACTCGGTTTAATTATAAAATTAATCACATAATTTGTTACAAGAAATATCTAATATTGAGAATTAATCATTAATTTAATTTTGAAACGACAAATTTTCCTTAAGTTAATTTAATTAATTTTAGTTACTTTAATGTCGTTATTATTTATTATGCAAATTATTCTAAAGAAAAACGAATTTTCATATGTAAATATTATTTTTAGAATTTGTATTAAAATTAATTTTTTTTTAATACAAATATTAATTTGTTCTTAACTCAACGAAAATAATTAATAATTTGTATTGATGGCAATTGAATATTTTGATTTTGACAAAATTGAAACTAAAAAATTAATTGACTTTTTTCTGTAAATATTTAATTTCCGTGATTTTTATATTTTCAACTACCGCACTGATTTTATTTATTTAACTTTACTATATGAATGTTAACTTGGAAAATTATAAATTTAAATAGACTGTAAAAAATACGTTTTTCTCACTTTTTTTCCATTTTTTCAAGGTGGCTCCAACAATTGCTATTTTTCTCAAGTGAAACTGAAACAAAAAAAAAAACAAAACAAATTATTACTAAACAATATCAAATTTACTTCATTAGTTTTTAAACAAATAATTATATTTTAACGATATTTTATCCTTTTTCTATAGTTTTATTATATTTTTACCTGTAATTATAGGTTATGTTTTTTTCCATAAAAATTTGTAAATTGTTTTGTAAGTTGTGACAATTTGTCACAATTTAAAAAAAAATTTCTCCAATGCAAATTTTTGAAACATTTCTATTATTAATATTCATAAATTATTTTCAACAACTAAATGTTAGAAAAACTGAAAAAATATGAACAAAACTGGAGAAAATTGCTTATGTAGTAGACGTAGTAGAATATTTTCGACTTTTTGTTGCAAAAAGCAAAAAAATAAAGGAAACATAACCTACAAAACTTAAAGAACAGAATATTTGCAAAAACGGCAAAAACAAAAAATATTTTCAAAATTAACAAGTTTTGAGAATATTTAACAAAGAATTCAATTAATTAATGCTGTTTCGATCATGTGTTGAGTAAGAAATGAATTAATGAAATGAAATAGCTCAAAAAATACGAAACACCAAATCGAACAAATCTTACCGACAAGCACGGAAACACTGTGAATGCCAGTAACGGTACTGAATTTTTCCGCTTGCGGATCTGTAAATTCCGCTGGTCACCGGAACTTCCGGTTTCCAAGCAGACTCGAATAGACGATACAATGTATTTTGAATGTCCACCGCAGAGGAAACTGTAAAAATAATTAAATAAACGAAAAAATGTTTAACAATTTTACACACTGCGGCCGCCATCTTGAAAATATTGTTGCAAGCACATTTTGCCATTGAAACAATACTTTCGACTATATTGATTACATTTTCAAGTTTTCCTAACCAATAGAGCAAAATTATGACCAAATTCACACAACCAATCTCAAAAGAACTAGATTTTGGCAACAATCCTTGAAGATTGATGAAATATCATCAAAATTGCAAGCATCGACATGCCGTCAAGTGAGATCACTATTTTATTCAGCCATCTTGTCACATCATGGCAATTTTTTACTCAATTTATGACAAAATATTGTTTATTTCTATTAGAGAATGAAATATATCGCAAAAGTTTAATGTAAATGAATAAATATTACCATTTTTAGAGGAGAAATGTTGGCCGAGACAAAAGGACGCCACCGAGTGAGGAAGAGTCTCCGACATGAACGAACATGTATTGGAAGGGGACGTAACTCTGAACGGTGATTGGCTGTCTGCAATTTCCGGCCGATGGATGGACGTTTCTTATTGGTGGACAAATATTGTTTCAGAATCAAAGCGGGAAAAATACAAAATTCTTATTGGTGGTTCAATTCCATTTCATTATTGGCGGTGAATTTAAAAACATTTCAAATATATTTCTGAAAATATTTTTACTATATTTTTCAAATTTACATAATTGTAAATGTATTTTAATATTAAAATGGACAATTGTTTAAAAATAATTTACATAATTATTAATAAAATAATAAATAAGTTTAATACGATATATAATTTATTGTTTAATAATTTTGTACTAATTAATAAATTAATTATTTTAGAATCATTAATAAATTATTTATTTTAGAATTATTAATAAATTAATTAATTAATTTAGAACTATTAATAAAAAATCAATTATTAAATAATTATTAAATTAATTAATATTGAACTGAAATGATTAGAAAATTAATTTATTTTAAAATAATCAATAATATAATGTAAAAAATTGTTAATAAAAATTAATAATTAATAAACTTTTTATTAAAATAAAAGTGTAAAAAATTTATATTAAAAATAATTTTAATTTAACCAAATTATTCCAATGAATTTAATAATTGTTATGATTAATAAAGTATTTGATTTTAATCATAAATATTTAATTTAATTATAAACTAATAAAATTAATTTAATTATAAATAAATAAAAAATTTGGTATTAAATTAAAATTAATATTTTAAAAATGTGTATTTATTTTTTTTTTTATCAAAAACAATTAATCGTTAATTAATAATTATAAAATTATAATTATTGTTTAGGCATCGATGATTTTTTTAAATTTTCAGGCTCTTCTTGCTCATTAGAATTTACAGGTTTCTTTGGAATTAAAATTTTTGAAAGTGAAATTGATAATAATTTTAAACCCTCTGAGAAATTTGGTATTTTTTCCAAAACATCTTGAGTATCAATTGATTTGACAGAACTTGGAATTTTCGATATTTTCTCCTAAAATTTTAATTCCAAAAATTAGAAATAGAAATTTAAATATAAAATTGCAAAGTAATTTATTTAAAAAAAAAACCTTAGTGGCTTCCAAAAATAAATGAAGGACGTCTTTTAGTTCATTACTTCGTATTTCTATTGTTTTTTCAAAATCTTTCACATACGCTGTTTTCTTTCCTTTCTCCAACGATTTAATCATTTCCTCGGAAAAAATCTTCAGTCCCACCATTTTTTCCTTAATAAACTTTGTAATCGACTGTAATTCTTCGTTTTTAGAAAATTTTTCCTCTAAACGTTCCTTTATTTCGAAAAAATTCGTAATTTGTTCACTGGAAATTTTTTGTAAACTAGAATAATTATTTTTCTTCGATTTCTCAATCTCCTCTTTATCATCCATAATTTAATAATGACAACAAAAATTTAAATATAATACAATAAAGAACGTTTTATTATAATGCTTAATACAAATTGTGAAATCGATGCGCTACGATTAATTTATTTTTTTTTTATAAATATATATAAACATTCATAACTTATTATCAAAATCACATTTGGTAATCTTTTGTTTTTCACGAAGCGTTTTGCTTTTGTTTATTTCTTTGGCGATAAATAAAAATTATATTCTCGCAACAACATTAATAGAATTTCCTTTTTTACACATAAATAAATATTCACTAATGAATATAAAGAATAAGTCATTATTATAACTTATTTACATTTCTTTCAAATAAGTTTTCTTTTTTAAAAAAAAAAGAAAAAAAAATATTAAGAACTTTTTCACATTTATGATCATCATTATTTCAAAAATACTGAACAGGTTAAACTTGAATAAAATAAAAAAAATATACGTCCTTATTTATGAAAAGGTACAAAATTCTTTTCTCTAATTTTAACTATGATAAGTTTCATGGCCTCTTTTTCATACTCATGTAAGTCTTGTACGATGAAATCAATTTCTGTAATATAAAAAATTTATTAATCAGAATAATTTAAATTCATTGTAAAAGGGGAATTAAAATTAAATTAAAAATTCTCTCGTATTTGTTTTAAATAAAAATTCCTACAAAATAGAATTTAAAACAATTTTTTCTGAAAATTTAATTCAATTTAATTGAATTGAAAATTTAACATAGCATATTAATTTAAACGAAGATTTTGAATATAGAATTTAGAAATAAAATAATGTTTGAAATTAAAAAAATTTATAAATGTTATGTTATCAGGAAAATTTTAATATAAAAAGTTATTCGTTTAAATAAGTCTATTGTAAAATATTTAACTTACTATTATATCATTAATGATAGTGTTTGATGAAACTTTCTTTTCGTGAACCATTTGATGCCATTCAGAGCGATTGATTATGTTGAGACATGACAGTATTTTAGGTGCGAATTTCAAAGGCGTCAAATGAATAGGTCGAATAATTTTATTTTCCACATTTCGAATCACATTCAACGGCGTGCTAAAAGAAATTATAGACAAATTAAATTAAATACCAGAAATAATTTATAAACTTAGATGATAAATTGAAAGAATTAAATAATTTCTCAATAAATTAATAAAATAAATTTTCAATTTTATAAAGTAAATAATTTAATACATTTAACTTTTAATTTTACAACATAAATTTTAGATTTAATAAATTAAAATATAAATTTAAAAAAAAGGAAAACTTAAAAATTAAAATCGAAAATAAAAGTAAAATTTAAAAATAAAAATATTGAATGATATGAAAAAATAAATTCTAATCTGTTAATTGAGTTAAACGTTAAATAAAGATTTAATTTTAATAGATTTAATTCAATGGAAATTCAATCAAATAGACAAATTCAATGAAATATTATGAAATATGAATAATTAAATAAAATGGAAGATACTTACAAGTCAAGTTGATCTAAAAGTGAAGGATGCGAATATCTGTCAACTGTTTTAAAAGGAATCTGTACATTTATCATGTTTAAGGCCCTCAACATAATACTCGTTCCTTGTATATTCATGAAAGCCTCGACAAATTCTTCCGAAATTAACCAGCCTTCGTCATCAACATTCAGGACAATAAGACTCTTCTCCTTGGTGGTTATCGCTAAAAAAAGTTCTCTCATTTAAAAATTTAATCACACATAAATTAATAATCATAAAAAATAAAATTCAATTTCTAAATTACTCGAAAACCAAACTTGAAAAAGATATTTTTAATTAAACAAATGACCATTAATTTGAAAGAAAAGTTACTTATTATTTTATTTATTTTTTGTCTTATTGAATGAAAAGTTAAATAATTAATTTTCAAAAATTTCATGTCACTTTTGTTCTAATAAATTCAAACTTTTACTAATTCAGATTTATTTAGATTCAAATTTTTTATTTACTTATTCAGAGAATAAATTTTTTGGAAATATTTTCGCAAGAAAAATTTGAAAATTAAATTATTTTTTATAATTTTGCGTTAATAAGTGGATTTTTATACATTTAAAAGATGACATTTTTGTTTTAAAAAAAACATTTAAAGGAACAACATTTATTTCAAAATTTTCAAATTTTTTAAAAAATTTTTTCTAATTTTTTTAACTTTAATAATTTTAAATGTGCAATAATTTAATTCTTGCACAGAATTTTATTCAAATTTTTTGCCAACAATTCAATTGTTTCAAGAAATTTAAATAAAAATTGTACTCAAATTAATTAAAATCTTCGTAATAATTTTATAAAAAATTTTGAAAGTAACTAAATACTTTTAAGAAATTTTATTAAAATTTTTAAATAAAATTGAATTCTATATTAAGAAATTGTATTAAAATTTAAATAAAAATAATTGAATTCTTATAAAGAATTTTATTAAATTTTTTGAAAATAATTGAATTTCTGCAAAGAATTTGATTACTTATGAAAAATTAATTGAACTCTTGCCAAAAATTTTAATACAATTTTCAAAAGTAATTGAATTCCTGCGAAGAATTCCCTTAAAATTTTTGAAAATAATTGAATTTCTGTAAAGAATTTTATAAGTTATTAAAATAATTTGAATTCTTGAAAAGAATTTTATTAATTATGAAAATAATTGAATTTTTGACAATTATACTATTTATGAAGATAATTGAATTCTTGCCAATATTTTTATTAAAATTTTTTAAAAATAATTGAATTTCTGCAAAGAATTTTATTATTTATGAAAATAATTGAATTCCTCCGACGAATTTTATTATTTATGAAAATAATTGAATTTTTGCCAAGAATTTTATTAAAATTTTTGAAAATAATTTAATTTCTGCAAAGAATTTTATTATTTATGAAAAATTAATTGAACTCTTGCCAAGAATTTTAATACAATTTTCAAGAATAATTGAATTCCTGCGAAGAATTCTCTTAAAATTTTTGAAAATAATTGAATTTCTGTACAGAATTTTATAATTTATTAAAAAATTTTGAATTCTTGAAAAGAATTTTATTAATTATGAAAATAATTAAAATTTTGACAAGAATTTTCGTACTTATGAAAATAATTGAATTTTTCCAAAAATTTTATTATTTATGAAGATAATTGAATTCTTGACAAGAATTTCATTAAAATTTTTGAATATAATTGAATTTCTGAAAAGAATTTTATTATGTATTTATAAAATTAATTGAACTCTTGCGAAGAATTTTAAAACAATTTTTAAAAGTAATTGAATTCCTGCGAAGAATTTCATTAAAATTTTTGAAAATCATTGAATTTCTGTAAAGAATTTTATAATTTATTAAAATATTTTGAATTCTTGAAAAGAATTTTATTTATTATGAAAATAATTTAATTTTTGACAAGAATTTTATTATTTGTGAAGATAATTGAATTTTTCCAAGAATTTTATTTTTTTATGAAAATAATTGAATTTCTGCAAAGAATTTTATTATTTATGAAAAATTAATTGAACTCTTGCCAAGAATTTTAATACAATTTTTAAAAGTAATTGAATTCCTGCGAAGAATTATAATAAAATTTTTGAAAATCATTGAATTTCTTTAAAGAATTTTATAATTTATTAAAATATTTTGAATTCTTGAAAAGAATTTTATTTATTATGAAAATAATTTCATTTTTGACAAGAATTTTATTATTTATGAAAATAATTGAATTTTTCCAAAAATTTTATTATTTATGAAAATAATTGAATTTTTGCAAGAATTTTATTATTTATAAAAATAATTGAATTTTTGCCAAGAATTTTATTTTTTTATGAAAATAATTGAATTCTTGAAATGAATTTTATTATTTATGAAAATAATTGAATTTTTGACAAGAATTTTATTAAAATTTTCGAAAATAATTTAATTTATCAAAGAAAATTAAAATTCTTTCGAGAAATTTAGTTCAAATCATATTGAATATATTGAATTCTTATACAGAATTGTGTCAAAATTTTTGAAAATATTCGAATTCTCTCGATGAATTTAATAAATTTTATTTTTAAAGTTTGCAATTTTTTCGAAAAAATTCGCAATTTTTTCGAAAATAATTAAATTCCTATATTATTTATGAAAATAATTGTATTCTTCTGAAGAATTTTATTAAAATTTTTCGAAAATAATTGAATTACTTCAAAGAATAAGAATTAATGTTTTGAAAAGTAATAAATATTAATAATTTAGTTAATCAGTGGATTTTTTTTAAACTTTCAATCTGAATAATTCAAAAATTGATATTTAATAAAATATAAAAATTTGTGGTAAAAAACTTACGATAAATGTAGCAAACTAAAGAATTATCTTTAGAAGGTGAAACTGAAGAATTTCTCATTTCCGTTTGCCTGGAATTATCAATGTTCCTTGTATCTGGAGGTCTTTCAAATGAATTGAATTCGGCATTAGCTGTCGATTTTTTCTCCTCCTCGATTGGCTTCGACAAATACGAAAATTTATTATCACCAACGAACGGATTGGTGTTTAGAGAAATATTTTTCTCTGGACGAACATTATTTTGTACTACTGGAATGTCTTCATTACGACTCTTGTCGATTGGAGAAAAATGAATAATACTGGCTGAATTTTCTTCTTGAATTCTCTGTCCAAGTGAAGGTGCATTGCTTTGATTGATAAAAATATTTTCATTGCCATAAATCGAAGAACTTTGATAATTCGTTTTTATCGGGGTAAACATATTCTCCACTTCAGTTGGAGTTGGTGTACGCGAACCGTTCGGTGTCACGGGAAGTGGAACTGCTCCCGCTTCCAAAAGCTCTTTATTAATCGATGATTTCATGAAATTCTCATTTGTTGTCGCCACTTCGATCGTTGTCTTTGGATAATTTTCCTCTGCCATCTGAACTGGTGATTTCATATTATTTATCCTATCCATTGGAGTTAATTTGTTCATCTTAAAACTAATGCCATTTTTCTTCACAGACGGCTCACTAGGCCCGCTAGTTTTAATTGACGGGATTGGCTTCCAATAATTCGGATCTAAATTATCAGTCTTATTCTCCATTTCAGTTTGATGATAAATTATTGGAGCAGATTCGTAGAATATTTTCGCACCATTATTCACTTGATTTGCAGACGAATCAATAACTGGTGAGAAAATATTACTGGGAGTAAATGTTTCCTCATTTACAAAATGAGAATTCTCAACATTTTTCTGTTTCTCGTTTTCAAATGTGAAAATATTCGAATGACAACTTGAATTTGATTCGAATGATTCATTAACAATCGACAATGAATCGTGTGAGAGGTCGAGAAAACTTTTCAAATTTCTTCGTGCCGATTTACGGGGCGATACGATTTCCTTTGGCGAATTTGTGGAATTGAAATCATTGATAAATGGATTTGTTGACGATACTTTGGGTTTAAATTCAGTTTGTTCGAGGATTTTAAATGGATTTGTTTCTTTAATTTCGGTGTTTCGGTCTTCTTTCATTTCATTCTTTTTCCCTTTCACTTGTTGAATTGCTCTATCTAAATTTTTCAAAAACTCTTCACTTTCTTTTGATAAACTTTGACTTTGTTGTGTAAAATGATTTTCATTTTGATTCGAATTTTCTTGATGTTGACGATTCTCCAAATTTTTCTCTTCACTCTTGACATTTTCAATATTAGGAAATTCTTCGTTCTTTCTTTCAAATCGCTTCTGATTTTCTGTATTCTCATTGATTTTCGGAACTTGACTGAATAATTCTTCGACACTTTTTGGAAAATCGCATTGTTTTGAGGAATTAACAAAATCATTTTGATCAGGTGATTTCGAGTTTGTTGAATCTTTTAAATTTCCATCATTGGTTGAATCGGTAATTTTTAAACCGTCAGTAAGTTGTCGCAATAGAGCTTTATACGTATCACCGTCCATTTGATTTTGCATTTTCGCGTGTAAATTCAAAAATTCTTGATAACAATTATCATTCTCAGTGTTATTTTTACTGCTCTTATTATTTACGGAAGCACTCGAATTTGTGTCCATTGGCTGAAAACCAGGAGGCGGACGTGGATTAACGTTTGATTCCTGAGTTGATGTATCACATGACGTTGAATCCTCTTCATCGAAATCACATTTTTTTGGTAATTTAGTCTCCTCGTAGTCGCACAAATTTTTCAGATCAATATTCTAAAAAAGCAAACAATAATAATGTTAATATTTAATAATAGAAATTAAAAAAAAATTACAGTGATAAATTAATTATCAAAATGAAAATAAATAAAATTTCACTAATGATGATGAAGAAAGAATAATGCGAAAAAAATACCGGCTTACTTGGGAAATTAGAAGGATTAATTCCGTCCTCTTGGGATAAATGTCTTTCAAAAGAAAGTCATAAAGTTGCGATTCATAGGAAGTGGAGAATCGGATCTTTAAGTTTGTTAAAGGAATTGTTTACTATTTGATTATAATCACAATAATTATCTTAACTAATAATTATACATCGAAAAAAAAATAAAACTAGAATAAAAAAAGTGTCACAATTTCATTTTTAATAATTTTAAAAATCGATTTTAAAATAATTTACAGAATTATTTTTAACATTGTTGCACTTTTCGTAAGATTTACGTATATTTTATCAGGGTTGCCACAAAAAATTAATTTTGTTTTTCCCTGATTTCCTGACTTTTCCTGACTGATTTTTACTTTTTCCCTGACCATAAAGAATATTCTGATTTACTCTAAAAATTATTAGATACTCAAAAAAACATTGTATTACATTTACTAACGAATTTCTTAAATTGTAAAATTATTCGCAAACATCAATAACTAAATTTTTAATTACGTATTTAATTATTATTTTTTCATAGGAATTAAAATTCTTCAAAACATTCAAATTCAAACATTTTTAAAATTCAACAACTTATAAAAATTTAAATTTCCGTAAAATTTTTCAAAAAAAAAAATTAAATTATTTACAAAAATTATAACAAAATTCGTTGCAAGAATTCAATTATTTTCATAAATAATAAAATTCTTCACTGGATTTCAATTATTTTTAATACAATTTTAAATAAATTTCTCGAAAAATGAAATTATCTCTCAAAAGAATATAATTATTTAAATAAAATGTGATAAAATTCGTTGCAGAAATTCAATTATTTCTACAAGTAATAACATTTTTCACATGAATTCAATTATTAAAAAAAAATTGATTAAATTCGTTGTAAGAATTCAATTATTTTCATAAATAATAAGATTCATTACATTATTTCAATTATTAAAAAAATAGTTTGAAAAAATTCATTACAAGAATTTAATTACTTTCATAAATTAATAAAATTCTTCACAGGATTTCAATTCAAAAATTAATTTTAATACAATTTTAAATAAATTTCTCGAAAAATGAAATTATCATAAAAAATTGTTTGCAAGAATTAAAATAAACATCACAAACAAATGAAATTCTTCGCTGAAATTCAAAATTTTCGAAATTTGCTATTTTAATAAAAATTTCCCACAGAATTTAAGTATTTAAATAAAATTTAATAAAATTCGTTGCTAAAATTCAATTATTTTTACAAGTTAATAAAATTTTTCACATGAATTCAATTATTTGAAAAAAAATTGATAAACTTCGTTGTAAGAATTCCATTATTTTCATAAATTACAAAATTTTTCTGATGATTTCAATTATTCCTAGAAAAATGAAATTATTTTCTTAAATTTTTTGCAAGAATTTAATTACATTTCACGAATATAATGAAATTCTTCGTTAAAATTTAAATATTTTCAAAATCTACTATTTTAATAAAAGTTCTCAAAAGAATTCAATTAATTAAAAAAAAAAAAATGTAATAAAATTCGTTGCAGGAATTCAATTATTTTCATAAATATTAAGATTCTTTACATTATTTCAATTATTTAAAAAAAATTTGAAAAAATTCATTGCAAGAATTCAATTACTTTCATAAATTAATCAAATTCTTCACAGGATTTCAATTATTTTTAATACAATTTTAAGTAAGTTCTTTGAAAAATGTAACTATTGTCAAACATTTTATTAAAATTCTTCAAAAGAATTCAATTATCAATTATTTTTAAAAATTTATGCTATAATGCTTTTAATATTCAAATATTATCTAAAATTTTAACTGATATTTATTGGAGAATTCAACGAGAATTTAATTATTTAAATACAAAAATAAATAATTTATTGAATAAATGAATGTTTCTCGAAATTGAATTATCATAAAGAATTTTATCAACAAATTTGAATTTTTTTCGAGGAATTTTAATAAAATTTTTAAGAATAATTAAATTTTTCGAGGAATTTAATTAAAATTGTATTAAAAATAATTGAAAGTCTATGATAAGTTTTATCATTCATGAAAATAATTGAATTTTCGTAAAAAATATTATTTATCAAAATTATTGAATTATTGCAAAGAAATTTATAAAAAATTTGAAAAATAATTGAATTCTTGTGAAATTTTTATTATTTTATGAAAATAATGAAATGTTTGAGTAGAATTTTATTAAAATTTTTTAAATAATTGAATTCTTTTGGAAAATTTTATTAAAATAGTAAAAATTAGAAATTCCTTGATTTCCCAGACCTGTGGCAACCTTGTTTATTTGAAATTTTAATTTAAAAACATTTTTCTGATATGACGATAAAAAAATGATTTTCAATTAGCAAATTGTGACTTTTCTTTATACCAGAAGTTTAATTACAAAAAAAAATTCCAAATACGTACCACTTCTCCTGAAGTCGCCAACTTGTTGTCTACCATCCAATCGTTTATGTGAAAATCTTCATCCCTTAGCGTGTTTGTAAGTGTAATGAGTGCCGAGTTTTCCTAAAATATTAAAAACAACAATTAATTTTCATAATTATTTGTGTGTTAATTAATTATTCGTATAGAAAAAATTTATAATCGTATGGAAAAATAAAAATATATACCACTTCGTTTGTTTTGAAGATTTGCGCTATTAAAGGACAGCTGGTGTTTTCGATGAATTTCCAAGTGATGTTTTTGTCCCATTTGTTGGAATTTATTGGCCGAACATTGAATAATCCACAAGGAATCGCCTGAGCTGGTAAATGCGAAAAACGCCTATGAAGATAATACAAGTACTGTGGTTTGTAGCATTTGATTGTTCCATAATCGTAAAAGTGTACCTGAATTAAAATAAATAAAATATATAATATAATATAATATATAATTTTTCAAGAATTAAATTATTGGAAATAAATTCAATTTCACATTCTGAATAATTTAGTCTTTAGTTATTGTCAGAATTAAAAAGAAATTTTTAGATTTTGTATAATAATTCTTGGTGATTTCAAAGTTTACAGGGCAAATAAAAAAAATTTATGGCAACCTTGATTACATTTTTTTGTCTTAAATTAATTCAAACTGATAAATAAAAAATTATTTTATCATGGCAGAATTCAATTATTGCAAATTTTTGGCAAAAATTCTATTATTTTTAATAATTGTGTTAAAATTCTTAGCAAGAATTCAATTATCTCCATAAATAATGAAATAACGAAAAAATTGTAATAAAATTCTACGCAAAAAATCTATTATTTTCACAAATTTCTATAAAATTCCTGGCAAGAATTTCACAATTTTAACAAACTTTCTCTAAATAATTAAATTATTATCAAAATTTTTATTAAAATTCTTTATAGGAATTCCATAATTTTGAATTCAATTTTAATTAAATTCCTCGAAAGGATTTAATTATTATTAAAAAAATTTTTTTTAAATTATTGAAAAATTAATTAATTAAAAATTTTAAAAACTAGTTGTGATTGAAAATAATAAAAAATGTACAAAATAATTGAAATAGGTGAAAAATAATCTAAAAATAACAAAGAAAACTACTATTTTTTAATTTACTTTCAGTTTGTATTATTTTTAACCTACCAATGAATCTCCATCAGGTAAAACTTCTTTGATAATTCCTCGATGCCACTTTTTCGCGTAGACACAAGCCACATTCAATCCTTTATCTAACGTTATTGCTGGAACTTGATACTGTTTGTATTCCTCCATGTAAAATTCGCTGAAAAAAATAACAAAATTGTATAAAATAAATTTTTATACTATTCTAACTAAATTTCTCTAAATAAATTAAATCTACAATGAATATTCATATTAAAAATACAAAAATTCCTTGTACAGGGATGCCACAAATATTTAATTTTATTTTTCCTTGACTTTTCCCTGATTTCCAGACAAAATTTTTTACTTTTTCCCTGAACCGAGAGAATATTCTAAATCACTCTAAAAATTATTAGATACTCAAAAAACTGTTCTATTACATTTATTTACAAATTTCTTGAATTGTAAAATTATTCAAAAACATCAATAACTTATTTTTAAAATAAATATTTTTAATCATTATTATTTTTCTGGACGAAATAAAATTCTTCGAAACATTCGAATTCAAACCTTTTTGAAATTCAACAACTTATAAGGAAATTGTTACAAAACATGAAATTTTTCAAAAAAAAAATTAATTATTTACAAAAATCCTAATAAAATTCTTCGCAGAAATTCAATTATTTTTACAAGTAGTAAAATTTCTCAAAAAATTCAATCATTTAAAAAAAATGTAATAAAATTCGTTGCAATAATTCAATTATTTTCATATAATAAATCGATTATTCGGTAATTCATTTTTAAATCAAAATTTTTATTAGAAAATTCTAAAAGAATTCAATTATTTAAATTAAAAAATAAATAATTTATTGGATAATTGAATGTTTGTTAAAATTGAATTCTCATAAAGAATTTTATCAACAAATTTTTTAATAATTGAATTCTTTTGACAAATTTTAATAAAAATTTTAAGAATAATTACATTTTTCGAGGAATTCGATTAAAATTTTGTATCAAAAATAATGAGTCATTCCATTATATTTCGACTAAAGTCGTTGCTGACTAATTTTAAAAAATTATAATATTTTGCAGGAATGATGTTAAAGATATTAGGATCACCGAACAAAAAGAATTTTTTAAATATTTTTTATATTTATTGTAAAATAAGCATCTAAAGTATATGAAGTCGTAAAAACTGTCACATTTTCATCTATTAGAAAATATTAAAGAAAACACATAATTTACTATAAAAATGTAAAAAAGTTATAAGAATTTATTAAGAAAGAATTGTTTTATTATTATAAATTGATAGAAACAATTATTAATAAGAAATATTAAATAAAAAAGGATTTTTAAGTTCACCTGCCAAATAACCTAATTTTGCAAATTTCATTCACTAAATGTGAGAAAGAGAAATCATTAAATTGAATTTCATAAGGTTTTATTCAATTTAATGATTTCTCTTTCTCACATTTAGTGAATGAAATTTGCAAAATTAGGTTATTTGGCAGGTGAACTTAAAAATCCTTTTTTATTTAATATTTCTTATTAATAATTGTTTCTATCAATTTATAATAATAAAACAATTCTTTCTTAATAAATTCTTATAACTTTTTTACATTTTTATAGTAAATTATGTGTTTTCTTTAATATTTTCTAATAGATGAAAATGTGACAGTTTTTACGACTTCATATACTTTAGATGCTTATTTTACAATAAATATAAAAAATATTTAAAAAATTCTTTTTGTTCGGTGATCCTAATATCTTTAACATCATTCCTGCAAAATATTATAATTTTTTAAAATTAGTCAGCAACGACTTTAGTCGAAATATAATGGAATGACTCTAATTAAAATCCTGCGATGAGTTTTATTATTTATGAAAATAATTAAAATTTTCCCAAGAATTTTATTAAAATTTTTTATGAAATAATTGAATTTCGGAGAAGAATTTTATTATTTATAAAGATACTTGAAATTTTGACGAGAATTTCTTTAAATTTTTTAATGTTATTGAATTTCTGCGAAGAATTTTATTACTTTTGAAAATAATTTAATTCTTCCAACGAATTTTATTCAAGTTTATAAAAATAACTGAATTTCGGTGAAGTATTTTATTATTTATAAAAATAATTGAATTATTGAAAAGAACTTTGTTAAATAATTGATATTTTTCGAAAAATTTTATGAAATTTTGTATTTTAAATAATTGAATTCCTGTGAAAATTTTATTACTTGTGAAAATAATTGAATTATTTCGAAGAAATTTATTAAAAATTGAATAATTAAATTCCTGTGAAATTTTGTCAAGAATTTTGTTAAAATTATTAAAAATAATTAAATTTCGATGAAGAATTTTATTATTTATAAAGATAATTGAAATTTTGACGAGAATTTATTTTAAATTTTTGAACATAATTGAAGTTCTGCGAAGAATTTTATCACTTTTGAAAATAATTGAATTTCTGGAATCATTTGTAACTTTTCCAAAATTCAATTTTTTTTTTAGTATTTTTTACTAAAATTCTTCTATGAATCTAGTATTTATGAAAATTGTAAAAATTATTCATAAAATAATTTATAATTCACAATTTTATGATAGTTCTTGAAAAATTAAGTTATTTAAAAAGAAATTATTGGCAGAAATAGAAAAAATTGAAGGTTTTGTATTAAAATTCGTGGTAATTTCATAGTTTACGAGGCAAACAAAAAGAAACATTAAAATTCAGAGTTTTCTCATGAATTTTAATAATTCCATTTTTTCCAGTACTTTTACTAAAAATCCCTGACTTTTTCCTGAATTCCGTGACCTGTGGCAACTCTGTTGTAAATAAAAGAAAATTCCTTGTTTCAATTATTCAAATACTTACTGTAAACTATCCATGAATTTTTTGAATTTCGGTAATCTTTTACGTAATTGTATCCAGAAGAAGGAGGGATTGAATACTTCGCTTAGTACTACTTCTTCGTAGTGTTTTCCAATACATAATTCATCAACGAGAATCTGTCCTACTCTTTCGTGAAGTAACATAACTCCATCTGGATATAAACTGGCAAGCACACTTGGATTCTGCAAAAAAAAATGAAATTAATTTTAAATTCTAATTTTACATAAAAAAAAATAGAAAATTGTAAAATAAATAAAAATTTACATACAAACATTAATTAACTTTTATCTTTTAAAATATTGAGTAGCTTGTGAAATTAAAATTTAATTTCAAATTAAAAGTTAAAAATTTAATTAATTAAAAATTTTAATTTTAAAATTTGGTTTAAAATTTAATTTAAAATGTGTAAAGTTTACCAGTCGGCTCGGTATGGGTTCTGGTGTATCGTCATAAATACGATATTGTTCCGCAGACGAATAACGACAACGAGTTTCCGGATTCTTCAAATCAGGTACTGGTAGTTTAGCATTAAACAATTTATAATCGCCCCTTTGATTTGGACATACACAATGAAAAATGTCAGGAAGCTGTGATGCAAAAGCGACAACACTCTGGAATCCCATTTCATTGTATTCTAAGCTAAGACCACTTTCTTTTCGATAAATATCTGGAAGATCAGCGCACCAAATTCCTTCCGGATGATTTTGTATTATAATTTTAAGTCTCTCCTTTAATCGAGGATTTATATCGAGTGTATTCTCACTGCAATAATTCTCACCATCATCACTCGCATAATTTTCATTTTTGTTGTTGTTATTAATTCCATTATGTGAAGAATATTCGTAATTTTGTTCAGTCTCTATTTCTTCATGTTTCTTTGGAGATTTCTCACTATTTCGTCCATTTTGAAGAATATCTTTGGGCGAACTATTTCGATGACTTAAATTTGCGTTCTTTAAAGAATAATCTTCTCCATGTTCCCTTGAATATGTGACACTTTCTTTGAATACATCGGCCGGTAATCCGGTGTCTTTCAATGATTTATTAAATCTCTCACATGACGATAGTGTATTATGAACGAATCTAATAATCGGGCGGCCATTCTCTTTTTTCTCAACTTCAGACGGTGTTGATTTTCCATTTTCATTATTAACATAATCAAATTCATCAATATCGGAATAGTCGCAATTTTCATAATCATCTTCACCAGTGAAATATTGATGACAAGGTTCATTTGAAGTCGATTGACTATTATTTATTTCAGAAGACATTTCTGATAATCGACTGCTACGTTGATTTTCAACATTTGTCTTTGAACTTGCAGACGAGAAATTATCAAATCTCGAGGTAGAAGAAGATGGAGAGTTAAATCTCGAAGTGGAAGAATATGAATTGTTTAATCTCGAGGCAGGAGAAGAGTACAATGATCCCGAATTCCTTGAACCCTGTAAAAGAGAATTTTATTTAGATCGAAAATATTTAGAAAATTGTATTAATTATTTATTTTAAAATTATTTTTCAAAGTGTTCTATAATACAAATATTTACTCGTGAATTTGAAAATAAATCTCTTTCCATAGGATACATGATTCAAAATTAGTAATGATTTAATGACCTTGAAAATTTTTATTACTTGCTATTATTATCGAACACGTTTTTTTTCTAAATAGAAGTATTTTAATTGATAATTAATTTTAATATCGACCCAAATGTGGCGTCTGGTAAACAAATAAATTTCATTTTCAAGAAATTAAATATATTATTTCGATTTCTAATATATTCAAGAATAAATAAAACAAGAGAAAAAATAATCTATCTAATAAAAAAAAGATACAAATTTCAGACAAAAAAAAGTTTAAAAAAATAATAAACCATAAAACTATTGCAAACCTGATAATAGCCACCACGATAAGATTTGATCGATTTTTTGAACTTATTTAAAGGCTTTCGTTTTGATTTTTGCCCCTCAACGAATTCTCTCACGTGTCGTGATTTTTCTGTGTCTATAACTTTTATGTAAGTCTTATTAAATTTAGTGATAAATGTAAGAACATGCTTTAATGAGTCCAAAAATGAAAATAAACTGTCATGGTTAAATTCACGAAATGGAATTTCTTCTCCCTCGTATTCAAGATAATCACCACGTAATTGTTGTATTGTTATGTGATTTTGATGAGAAATTAAAATCGATCTTATTGTAGATTCAACATTTTCGCGTCTTTCTTGCGTTGGTTGTGGTCGCAGTGGCATTTTTAATTATCCGCAATTATTATAATTTTTTTTTATATAAAACAAAAAACTGTTTATACACGTGAAGTTCTTCGTACACCGCGCACTGATTCTAACCTCAAAATTGTATTATTTGATCATGCAATCAAATTTATTCTAGACACTTTTTCTATTAATGAGACACATAACACTGAAGCATGTTTAATTAAACTACATATTGCTAAACACTTTCGGTCACTAAATGAAAATTACCAGATGTTATTTAAAGATGAATTTTCTGTTCATCAATAATTCATTCTATTGTGAGTGTCTATCAGTAACTGACTGAAATACGAAGCGGAAGGCGAAACCAAAATCGAAGTACCACGTGACAAAAATAGAACTTGAATTTCAACCAATTACAGGCAGTGTTGAGTGGCGGGGAATTAAAGTAATAGAATATTTCTTTTTAGAACAATTATAAATAACTAAAATTGCATATTAATTACTTCAGTTTAAAATAAATTTTGATAGAAAATTATTTGATTTCTATTGTATTGCTTTTTCCAGTAAAAAATTGAAACAAATGAATATTTACCAATTTCCGGAAATTGTTGTTTTATTTCAGCCAATGAGAATAAAGTTCAATAAACATGCTTTTAGCGCGCAATTTTTGAAAATTTATAATAAATTATTTTGGGAAAAATAAATAATTTTTAATAATTAATCAATTAACAATTAAAATAAAGTAATATTCAATAATAATTTATTTCTGCTTTTTAAAAATTAAACATTTTTGTAGCAGGAATAGAGATAACAAAAATAATTTCTTGGCAAATAATATTTAAAAAAACTTGTTTTTAATTGTCGAATAAATAATTACATACAAAATAGTAAAAAAATAATTAATTAAAGGAAAAAAAATAATTAGTTTAAAGTAATTAAAATAATTTAAAAAAAAAATTAAAATTAAAAAAATTTTTAAATAAATTAAATAAATTAAATATAAATTAAAAATAAAAAATTTAAATAATTAGTTTATAGTAATATAATTAAAAAAACAATAAATACAATAATCAAGGAAGTTGCACCAATCAATGTGACAATATTTAAAAAAAATTTTTTACATACAATAATTTATAATTATTGTAAATAAATAAAAAAATAATTAAAAAAATTGTTTAAATAAAATTATATTAAATTTAGTTAAATAAAATTAAATAAATTCAATTCAAATTAAATGATATAAAATGAATTAAAATTTATTAAAAAAAATTAATTTACAAATAAATAAATAAAATTAAATAAAATTGAATAGATAAAATTAATTGAAACTAAATGAATAAAAATTAAATTAATAAGATTAATTGAAATTAAATCGATAAAATTATTTAAAACAAATAAATTAAATTATTTGTAATTAAATAAATAAAATTAATTAAAATTAAATAGATAAAGTAAAATAAATTAAATTAAATTAATTGAGAAATAAATCTATTTTTATGGGAATTTAATTTTTATAAAAATATTTTTTTTACACCTTTGTAGGAAATAATTTTTTTTAACAAAAGTAAATTTATATAATAATAATTAAAAAAAACTTACAAAATCACTGCTGCTATCTTCAATTGCATTATTATTGAATTTATCCTCCTTAATGAATTTTCTTTGAGAATTATTTTTTATTTCATTCTTTAAAACTAGGTTTTTAAGAAATGAAATGTTCGCAATTTTTTTTCTTACTAGTGTTGGCTTTATTTCAGCCATTTTTGGTCAAGTAACCTTTAACTGAAATATAAATATTAATTAAATTATAAACTATATGTTAAATTGTGTCAAAAGATGGTATTTTTTAAATAAAAAAAAATTAAAGTATGTTGAAAAAAATAGACAAGAAATTATATTGTAAAACTTACTTATTATAAATTCCAGTGAATCAAGATTTACACCATTTTTATAGCACTTTTAGTTTTAATCAAGGAAAAGCTGAAGAGGTTATACATATACAAATCAATCCTCATGTTTTTGTTTTGATTTTGATAAGCAAAATTTTGATAAATTTCATGGAACTAGCGGGAATTATTCGAACTTTATTTGAAAATTCAGGGATGGGTCGCTGCGTGTTGCAGAATTTACGTAAGAAACTGTACTAAAGTCGTGAAAAGGTAACTCAACCCTGTTTCATAAAAGTTTTTTAATCTTTGCTGCTGGGAGCAACGAAAGTAGTAAATTTTTCCTAAAAAAGTAGTAAAAACTATATAAATTTACCAATATAGTCGCAAATAACGAAAATTTAACGAAATACTAAAAATATATGTCGACTCCGTTTCTCTTTTATTCATAAAATTCATTTTTGAGGTTATTTGCAAATTGTGCACAATTTTTACGATTTTTACAATTCTCATTTCTCAATTGCTATAAAGCCTATAAACTATTGTTTGCAATGTTTTAAATCAGTAAAAAAAAGTCAATAATCTGAGAAAGACAGTAATATTAATCTATTTCGAAAAAAATTGTCAATCTTTACGATCTTTGCAAAAATGATAAAAGATTTTCCAAAAAGAATAAGGAAAATTTTTAATTTAGTTGAAAAGGTTGAAAACAACCAAAACAACAAAAATTTGACAAAATAAATTTTAGATTTTATTATTTTTTTTTTATAAAAATTCAATTTAGAGGTTTGTGTACAAATTTTGCACAATTTGCAATCGCTATTTATTGTTTCGAATTAGTAAAAAGGGGTAAAAGAAGTAAAACAAAGTAAAAAATATGAATTTTCTCGATTTTCTCAATTAGAAAAATCAATGATATTGCTGATATAGTAGAATACGGTTTTACCGACCGCGTCGGTAAAAAGAAGATGGCGACCGCAACGCCACGAGTCGGGCTTAGTGTTAAACCATAATCAGTTTGAATCCGGACGCCGGTTAGTGAAGTTGTTAGTGAGTAATTTTCTACTATATTCGTCAATTATTAATGCTATTAATTGTTCTCGATTATTGTTTTCTTTAATGAGATCGCGTATGTCAAAACAAGTTTAACAATGAGTGTCTCGGATGTTTTTTAATGTGTGATAAAATTCGCGATTCTATTTCTTATGCAACCGGGAGTTTTCTGTTGTTTTTTTTTGCTTTGTGTGATTAGTGCACCTGTGTCACCACGTGGATTTTAGGATTTGACAAGGAAAATTTGCCAAAACAGGACGGATGAAGATGGAGTACCCCTGTCGTGTGGAAGGTTGGCTGAATGTTTGTGGTTAGTACTTTTTCTTTTCGGTGGTAAAAATATTTTCATTCATTATTTGTCAATAACAAGTAATATCTCCTGGAAGGAAGAAATGTCACTTTCTATAAACATGGTTATACCTTATTTGACACGGTTTTTTTAAAAATGTTACAATTTCAGAAATTTTGAGGTTAGGTTGAGACAGGTGTCTCGATTTTTAACTGTTTATAAATAGCTGTTAACAATAAAAGGTCAAATTTTTACTCATTAGAAATAGAAATGTTATCTAATTCATTGAATAATGTTTCGATTGACAAATACTAATCGGCAGTAAATTTGCAGTGTTTTTTAAACAGAAAAAAAACCCGTCGCTTGAATATATAAATCTTTTCGTGCTTTTTTCGATTTTAAAACAATTTGTTTACTACAAAGGTCGGACGTTTTAACATCTTTCACGTGCACGTGAATAAGAATAAATTTCATGTTCGGAATTCAATGGTATTTCAAATAAAATGCATATTTTTCGAGATATTCCTTGTTTTATCGTCTCGTGAATTTTCCAACTATATTTTATTGTCATGGAAGTTGTTGAGAAAATACACAAAGTACAATACAATCGTACAACAAATCGTTGACCCAAAAAAAATATTCATTATTTTGGAATGTGAATCTGGAAAGTTGACCTTGCATTGTGAGCATAATTCTTTTTTGTAGGAAACAAATTATTACTTTTGAGAATGGAAAACATTTTTTAGATTTCTATTCGCAAATAGAGATTCAAAGGAATTTTTTAAATAATTGTAAAAAAGAAAAAATTGTATACAATTTCTCAAATATTTTTTTTTCTCTCAGAGTGGCATTTGATTTTTACTGTTCGTTATAAATGGGTATAACCTTTTGAGTGTGAAATAAAATCTTATTTAGAGGGGGGAAACGAGTGTGAAATGCTCATTTTAAAAGAGTGTCTAATCCGGGTCGCCTAATTCTTCTCCCCTATTTAATCCGACTTTTTATGCGCGCATTTGCTTACTTCTATTTCTATGCGATATCACGTTACTGAAGAGATCAGTTTCTGACATCGAATGTGTTTTATTGTATGTGAATAAAATTCGAATGTGTATACATAAATGCGGGTATAAGTGAATGTCCGTTTGGTCGATGATTTCTCTCTCTCTGTCTCACTTTTGGTGAGAGTGTTTTGACCATCGTTGGGTTCAATTTAACGACCGGCCATTCTCGCAGAAGAGGTCACGCGTCAGGTGTCCTTTCAAGTATATATCCTAGGGACTGGGTGATATGTTTTGACACGTTAACAGAATATTGAGTGGCGTAAACATCTGTTTTGTAAAAAGGCCCTTTTGACTTGTGCTAAATTACTTGCTAATTATTTTTCTTCCACTTGGAATTTTGCATTCGTTTTTGTTTCCGCTTTTACATTTATTTTTATTGACAGGTTTTTTGATTTATTGTTTGTTTCTATTTTGATTTTTAAAATTAATTTTTTTAATTTTGTTTCTGATCTTTTTAACGCTATTTTTTATTTTTATTTCTAGATTTTTTTATTTATTTGTATTCTTATTTTTTATATTCATTTCTAGATTTTTTTGAATTTAACTTCTTTATTGTTATTTCTAGTTTTCTTCTACTTTTTTATTCTATATTTTTTGGTGATAGGCTTTCTAGATAGATTTTCATTAAAATTTCAGTTTTGTGAGATATTTTTGAATACAAACATTCCGATTGTTTACTGTTGTACGTATATTTAATTATCAAAAGAATATTTCTTTCTCGTGTATAATTACGGTCATTACCTTTAGAAATCATTTGATATGACAGAAGAGTCGTAATTGATTGCATAAATTTGCATCTCATGTATTAATTATCAGAGAGTGTACACACGTTTTATAGTATATTTTGATGTTTCGCATTTCTTAATCATCGCGGAATTGTAATTTGTAGTTTCTGGATAAACAACTTGAACAACTTGGATTTTTTTTACATTCTGTCATTAAATTTCTAATTTTCGTGCGCGTGTATTAATTTTTCGGTAAAAGATATAATATTTAATTCTCCTCGCCAATCATTGTGTATTGACTTGAGAGAGATCACACTC